AGTCACCTATATTATTGCATGCTTCTTGAGCAACCGGAGGTGTTCGTCGGGGCTCCGGACTCTGCAGAATTATGTTTGGGGTTCAGCGGCCCCCGCAGAGCTTGGAGGTGTAGAGTTTTCGGCGTCAGGGTTCATGTCAGGCTTCACAGATAGAATTATATGATTGAATAGTGTTCAAAAGATGCTCCAGCAGCCACACGGGGATGTAAGTAGCAATTCTAGATCAAAAGACCTCTATTCAAGAGCGGCCTTGCGTAAGGACGGGGCCTGACGGGCTGCCTCTCCTCGGATCGCGAGCAGCATAATGGATCCCACCTCGGATGGAGACACCCAATATAGAAGGTTGAACAGTTGCAGTAGGCTTCCTGTAAGGTTCGAAAAAGGACTACACAGCGCGTTTAAAACCCGACAAGAAAAGAAACACAAGCTACCCGACAGTTGCTGAAGGGCTGTCTATGACTTCAGGGGCCTTAATCATTGGAATCTGGTTTTGGGGTAAGCTGTAACATAATATACCTGTAAGACGAAACCCGAAGAACTAGTCTAGCCTACTATTCAGACCGCTATAGTGCACAGTAGAATCCTTATCGTCATGATCTTGTTGTAAGGTTCTCCGGAAAGACATCCGTATAAACGGTGCTGTTGATAATTACGATAGGATTTGGGGGTATACCTGAGACAAATCAAAGAAAGTATTGACATGAGGAACCCCAGGAATAATACAGGTAATTACTTAGGCTCCCACCTCCAATCCCCAAAAAAGTGAACTTCCTCAGCGTCGAAGCCGGGGTTGGCTCTGCTGTTTGCGAACACAGAGAGAGAGAGAGAGAGAGAGAATAAGAAAGAAAGAAAGAAAGAAAGAAATAAAGAAATAAATAAATAAAGAAAGAGAGAGAGAGAGAGAGAGAGAGACAGATAGAGAGAGATAGAGAGAAAGAGAGAGAGAGACAGGGAGCGAACCCTTTGTGGAGCTTTGTGATCAGGACAAGTTGTGCCGCTTTTTACTCACGAAAGCCCGGAAGCCCTAAGCCCTTATGAACTCCCAACCCCTACTCAACCCTAAACCCTAAACCCTAAACCCTAAACCCTAAACCCTAAACCCTGATAGCCCTAAATACCTAGAACTCCACACAGATGCAGGCCATGAGGCACATCGCAGAGGCCGGCAGGGCAGCAAATCGCAGTCAGCCGAGAGAAGGTGACCCGGCCTCTGCGGAATTTCGGGGTTTAGGGTTTAGGGATT